TGGGGTCTGCCACATATGCAGCAAATGCTGCATTCTTCTCCGACACTAATGCGCCAATCGTCGCATTGTGCTCATCAAACCAATCAGGCCGCTTCCGGTTTGCGCGCCCGATGGTCTCCTCGGCAGCAGCTGTCACCTGGTCGCGAATGCGGTGCTACAAGTCGTCCACTGTGGCTGTACATTCCACGTCACACTGGCGTGCAGCCATCGCCTTCACCAGCTCAGTACATTTCGCCACAGTGCCGAGGGAGAGAATGTTAAGTTTACGCCAAATCACGGTAGGAGTGTAATACATAGATTTACGAAAATATATGTACAGTTTGGTACGCATCATTTCGTGATCAGTGCCACACTCCGCTCCACGCAGCACACGTGTCATGCACACTTCACGCATATCACGCTGATGTACGATGACATTGTTGAGCAGGTGAGCGTAACCACTCCGTGTGTGCGTCCAAGTTGCTATATCACTCGCACTCAGTGCAAACCGAGTGTTCGAGATCCTCAGACCGTGAGCGGCACACAGTGAGACAGTCTATCACCGTTAGCATTCGCTGAACCAATGTCATACGAACCGATAACATATGTCCACACTGATGTATCATACTCAACGCGCGCGTTGAAATCACCCAGCAGAAATAGTCGGTCGCTCCTAGGCACAGTGCACGTGGATGCTGAGAATCATCAATTCGACATAGAGCATACCAGTATCCTCGGAAGGGCTAAAAGCCGGCAAGCACGTGAGTTCAGTTAAGCCTGGCATTCAAAACAGAACTCGATCAATAAGCACTTGGACATTGAAGTCGCTTACGAGGCACTGCGAACCAGGCCCCTGAAACCGCACTGATGATGTTGCCTAGTCAGGCAACGCTACGTCGGCACAATAATCAGTCAGCTCGGCGAACCGCCCAAAATCCGTAAATTGGATGGCTGCAGTTGTTCTGAGCTGGGTGGCGAGCAGCGAGAAATCCCAGACTGTGTAGACGAACATTACCTAGACCGGTTATCGTATTTGTCACACTAAGACTTATCCAATGCTAATAACACCTGGCTAATGTGCGGTCAGTGAACTTCAACTGTGTTCAGTAAGCGCTTACTCAGTACAGCTGTCAGCGCACTTTGGGACGTATTCGGAACTTCTGGCCTCGTCAGTAGATAAGTTTCTAAGCGCTAAAAGTGTCGTAGCAGGCGTCCTCTGAACTGTCCTCACAGATTAGCACAGACTATTGAATGGTCGGAGTGTGCGCCCAAATTTCAAGCCGTACGACAGTTTCGAATACAGCTACACCAGCGGAAACCGAGTGTGATGTGATAAAGTTTCACAAATAGATATTCGGAACCTGATGGGCAGCGAGTGCTGCGTCGAAATTAATGCTCGTGAAAAATAGACGGGCATATTCACATGAGTGTAACCACCACTTACTGCTATCACTAGGGGAGTGTACACAGTGTTAGCCATCCATATGGAGCCCATTAATGGACAATTCATCAATTTGGACACTAAGACCAACAGCCAGCAATAGAGAAGCTGTACTTTCGTGAAGGACTAGCTTGTTCAATTGCCGACAGAAGTCGTAGTTCACAGCAATGTTACATTTTGTTGGGGCATATGTAGCAATGATTAACGGGCACCTTTTCTTCCGGCGCGAATTTAAGGCCTTGCAATACGAAGCAGCCAATGTGATGGCTCACATTCGAGTATTCATTTGAATCCGGTCAATCCCGGCAGATTCAGCTAGGTGGCTCAGAGCGATGGCCAAATCTGTTTGACCTGCAATTAGTGCTGCGTTATCTCTGACAGGCGAAAGGAAAAGACGCTGCCCGTGTCACACGAACTCGGCCACAGAGTGGGAACCGTGCTCAAGTCTTGTTAACAAGTTTCCGATAAGCAGCAATTATCGGTCGACCATGCCACTAATGTTCGGGTAACTGCTGCCTATTTAGAGGTTTAGAACGAGGCGCGAATGCTGGCACATGTCAATCTCGGAAGTGATAGAGGGCTCCAAACCGAGGTGGACTTGTAGACGAGACCAGAGTGACGCTATGAGTCGGAACTAGAAGACAACCTCATATCAAAACAAGATGCGTGAGGTGTTACAGATCCATCTGCTGCCGGTGGGCCATAACATTGCCACTAACACCTATTAGTCGGACGGTGGCCGAGTGGTCTGCGCGCCTGATTTGCAATCATTAGGTCGCCGGTTCAAATCCGCGTGGGAGTGGGCGTCCTCGCGGTATACGTAGCCCACGCGCGACTGGTGATGGGGGCGTGGCAGCGGATCGCTGTTAGGCCGTACAGCTGGTGATTTATTTATTATTATTGACAACATAAGACCAATCACGTGACTTGCACTGCCCAACGGCAAGACACCGGACTTGGTTTTCTGACTGGTTTCTTGGACCCGTTTGTACTACTTGGCTCTATGTAATGCTCAGAATACAAAGTCCACTCATGCCATCCCGTGTCTGTGCTTACTTTCCTTTACACAGGCTGTGTCCATAGACGGAAGAGTAACACACGCTCGGTACGTAACCTGACCGCTAACACTTTTGGGTTAAAGAGAGGGGGAACCAAGTGAAGTTGGAGCTTGACGATAAGGATGAGAAACAGTAAGGAGAGAATTAGGATCGGTAGGTCTGAGCAGTAGTGCCCTAATACCCATGCGCTCTGATCACTGCGGTACATAGAAAGAAGTTGCTTATCATCTGAAAGGGCTAGATCATCCATAAATGGCTTGAAGAAGTTAGCGTTGTATTGCTTGGGCGGGGCTTTGCCAACTTACCATAAGCCAAAACATGATATTAAGGTTTTCAACTAGTCTCTTGTTCAGAAGCCTGACCTTAATGCGCTGGGTTTGACGTGGACCACAGGGACCTTCATAAAATCCTCCAACCTGGAAGAACAGAAGCGACTTTGTTTGCCTCTGAGCATTGACCAATGTGGTACGGTTGGCGCTGAAGGTGCAAACAACACCGCCAAGCACAGCTTGATGGAACGTTATGGTACACAAATAATCGAACTACGTCAACGCATCCTGATTTCCATTACCAACTGAAGCGCAAAGCTAAGCTTGGACATACTGAGTTAGAAGCAGAGCACTCTGCCCCTTTAGTTGTTTCCACATACTCTAAGATTATTTGTGATCAATCATTGGTAGTCGAAGTGCTCGCTGAACTGCGCAAAGTTATGGTGATCATTTAGAGGAATCCTTCGGGTTTTGTCGCAAAAGGTTCGCCACTAGTCAAGGCAACGGGGTGCTCCACTACGTTGAAAATGTCACCTTGCTCAGTGACAAAATGCTTGCAAAGTAGTTGCGAAGCTCCCCAAAAAGCTGAAGCGCCAAACGGACAATCTGATGCACCAGCACGTGCCTCTATTCCGAGGCCTGCTGTGCCAACTAGCCTGACGGTTGTATCACATTGCACTCTCGTTTTAATCGGATTTACGCCATAATATCCCGTCGCAGGACGATAGAGTTGCACTTTTTCGTCTCAATCTGATAAGCATTCTCTCGGAGCACTTTTATCAAAACTTGTTGCAACCGGCATTTAAAATGCTAGGCGTGAGTTCGAACACTTCGACCCGTCGATTTTTAACGTCTTCTTGGTGCACAAATTGATCCACAAGGGGAATATGCAATGTGGATCTACTACCTATGGCTGAGGAGACATCGCACTGCCTTGGAGATACCTCAACCCCGATAAAGCAAGAATGGCAACTGCTTGTTCCCTTTACACTACGAACAACGGCTTGGTGGGAGTGCTCGGAATCTTCAGCGTACGGTTCCAATGGAACTTAACTACCTTGGCTGCTGGAACGCAGTCACAACAGCAATCTGAGGTGCTACCATCTCGAGTTGGCAGAGCATTACAGTCGTTTGGAATGTCGTTGGCATTTTCTCTCCGTATGTGTTTGCCAAGCGTGGAATGCCCTTCTGGATTTGTGATATATGCTTCCACGCTGGTAGATTTCAAAGTCAGAGTTGGCTATGCACCCATTTCTCTGCGCCAGCTTACATTACTCATTTCGACAAGTTCCTGTCCGATATTTAACTACTGGCCAGCTTCCCGGATACGTTCCAACGCATTCACCACTTCCACATGTTCACCAGAAGGTGACATGTCTTTCCCGAAGGTCTCATTTATCGTTACTCCCTATGGATTTACAGTTTTTAATCCGCATACCTCGATGAGTCTACCGTTGTGAACTTACAATTTGCTGACACATCTCCCATAGTCTGCGCTATTCATCCTGACCACCTTAGGGGTTAGGTGAAGTATTAGCTTTTTTACCTGTATTAAACCATTGTTCCATTGCGCGAAATAGCTGCGAGCTGGACGGTGACGCAACCACTTTTACAATGTTAAGCTATAAAATCACTGATGGTTTGTTGGTTGTACCATAGTCAACGGGCACAAAACATCCAAACCCGTCGCACAGTTGATTTTGGTGCGTATGTATGGTGCAATAATTTTCGCACCTTAAACCTGTTTACTTCAAGTGAGCAACTTTCAAGTTAACTCGAGAACGGACGTTGCCATGCTGGCACAGACAAAAAACAAAATCTGACAGGTAACCCCATTCGGTGTCGGGGTTCCGCGAGTGGCAACAATTACGGTATGCATCATGCAAAAGTTTTTTATGTTTCATCGCATGTTGACTTAATGTCAGTTAACAGTATACAAAATTGGATACCCATTAATCACTCGGTCGCTACTATCCTTTTGAAGAGGAAAGGGAAGCTTTAAAAACTGAGCTCCAAAAATTTAAGGTACAGACAAAAGAACTTAATCTGAAAATGCAAGTGCTTATTGTGCAGTTAAAAGTAGACAGAATAATCAGCTCGATCTTACCTGGTAACATTTGAGGAGAATAACTGGAGGACATTTGCATTATGTTTTTTATAATAGCCTGAGATGTCTACTTTTGTCTGATATGTAAGCTATGTAAGTAGGCTTGATTAAGAAGAATGAGCTTCCCATTCGCATTATCCTTCCAGTTTGTGCCATTGCAAGGATGCCGAACAAAGAGAACGGGAGATGCGAAAGTGGTATACGAAGAAGATAGAAACCCTTGAATTGAAATGGTCCGAAAAGGTAATTGCTAGTTTTAGAGTTAATTGTGACTAGTCGATATGCTGGTTGAACTTGCGAGCAGAAGCGTCACTATGGTTGATGTCACCCAGTTCGGAAACTCATTGTGTTACCCTCTCACGACTTACCCCTTGGACCGTTTGGATTATCAGGTAAAGTTTGCCAACACAAATCCACGCCGTCTCTAGCGATTTTTGGGTGAGATCTTCACGTACAGTAATAATTTGCGTTTATGTGTCACACCCATGTGATGGTGTTACCCGGTGAGGTTCCCCTTCCCCTTGTGAGGCCTCTGCTTGCTAGTAGGAAGAAACAGTCAGTCCGACGGTTTAGTGCCAACAAATGTGGATACGGGGGAGCAACGTAGCACCAAAGTTAACAACTTATTCAGTCAGTTGTAATAAGCCGCCAGAACCGATGTGATCTTAGCAAGCGTTACCGATATTCGTTGGGGTGTCCGGTTAGCCAGCCGAATACTCCAATGGAATAGTGTGTAGATTATAAAGGTCATAATTGCGATAGCCCGGATGATAGTGGTGTCAGCCACACGTAGGACTCCCAGTACGTGACGCTGCAAACGCCACTGAGTAGCGTAAATTAGATGTGAAGGAAATCAAAAAGTATGACGAAGAGTCAGATCAGATGGCCGACCCCATGCATCATTTGAATGGCAATTAGACCATAGTACGACGTTTACATAGAATACGAACTTGAAAAAGAACGATCTAACACTGCACTACTGTACATTACAAGTGTTTATGTGAAGTAGATTATGGTAAACGCTGGAGTTCAACCTTTCGATCGATAGCAATAATGCTTATACAAGCTGATCATTGGTATGCTTTTCAGTACCTTAGAAAACATTAAGATTTTACGCCTGATCCCCTTCTTTCTTAATATTCTTAGTTCCATAGATCACTATGGTTGTGCGGCAGTGAAACACTAGTTCAAAAAGCTGAGGTACTGCTGCTGCTGCTGCTGCTGCTGCTGCTGCTGCTGCTGCTGCTGCTGCTGCTGCTGCTGCTGCTGCTGCTGCCGCTGCTGCTGCTGCTGCTGCTGCTGCTGCTGCTGCCGCTGCTGCTGCTGCTGCTGCTGCTGCCGCTGCTGCTGCTGCTGCTGCGCTGCTGCTGCTGCTGCTGCTGCTGCTGCTGCTGCTGCTGCTGCTGCTGCTGCTGCTGCTGCTGCTGCTGCTGCTGCTGCTGCTGCTGCTGCTGCTGCTGCTGATGCTGATGATGATGATGATGGTGATGACGATGGTGATGATGATGATGATGATGAGCAAACGTGCATCCCGGTGTGCAGCCTACTCGCCAATTGCACTATGTAGAGCACCTTGCCCAAAGTTGCTGTTAGGCGACCTTCGATGGCACAAGAAGCCAAACGTGGCGAGTATTGCTTCTTTGCTTTGCTCGTATGAGCGAAAGTTACTTTCACTGTATATACTGGCTAACTGAAGCTTCCAAGATTGCTGTACGAGCTGACCTGAATATATGACCAAAACGTGCCACTGGTTGTCCGCGGGACGCAATTAGCAACTCTGTGACAGATTACCGGTCGGCGTACACTTACTGAGCGAAAGCAATCCACACAGAATTAAGCCGTAGGATGGTTTTCACACCCATGTATCGAGACTTAATCGAGACTACTGTGATTGCTCGTGATATAAGTCCTGCCAGCTTAAAAACTGCCGTTTTTACTCATCCACTTGTAGTAGTTGAGTTCATCAGTAATCACCGTCCGTGGTCTTTGTGTGTGTCATGGCTGAACATTCACGGTTAACCTCTGTCACTAAATGGCCAGTTGGTTACTAGAAAACGCCGAAATCGAACTTTGTCAGTTTCCTAAAAATTCGTCGCAAAATACATGGGCATCAGTGCCCGGCTAGCTATAGAAGAAAACAACGATAGGTCCGACATTGACCTTCCGGGGGCAAAACAAAGTTTGTGGCAAATTATCGTTAACTCAAAATCGAAGTGCAGAATGGACCAAACAACTTCAATGAATAAGGAAACCTTAGGGACACCCCGCACGGGAGAGGTGAGCATTCGTGAAGTGTCGAGCTCAAAAGATACATAATAAGCAAAATCTATAAACAGCACACTGGAATAATAGTGTATTACGAGTATAAAAGCAGTGCTTAACCATTCCCGTGGGATGGAAGTTTTCGGCAAAGTAAACATGCATGGTAAAATGAAAGATGTCTTGATGGACTAATTACAGCGTTCGCATTCAGACATACGTAGAAGAGCCGAGATGTTCGCATGATAAAAGTATAAATGCATTGGTTGCATTTTCGAAAACACAGTTTGGTCGCGCAATATAGTCTTCGGCTAACACAAGTTGTACTATGAAATGCGAATGGAACGATGCTTCGACCAGTCGCTTTTTACATATAAAGAGATGGGGGCAGAGGCGGTAACAGTAGTAACCTGACAATTTGTGTTGATGTCACCAAAATTAATCGCAATGACTCTAACAAAGAGGAAGGAAGGAGAAAGGCACCTGAGTAAGCATATAGGATTAAAGCCAATATGATTATAAAGCCCACGCCATCACAAACAACTGGCCAGCGAGTGGTGAAACGACCCCGACGAGATAACAGCTTTACAATTTTTACAATTTGTGCCACAAGAAACTTCTCCAATCACATCAAACAGGCCGCTCGGTTATAGAACAACAGTAGTCGCTATCATGCTGCCAGCTGCAAACAATACTGTGCAGGCTTTTTGGTCAGACCCAGTGGGTCGACAATATCACAGCCTAGGGGAGAAGCGCATAAACACCACACATCCCGATGGTCAATGAGTCCATCTCCATTTGCCAAAACCAATAACCTATCTTTGCGAATACTTTTCCATTTCGCATCCAGCAGACAATTTTTCCTTAGTAAGCGAAATGCAAAGTCTGAAGCGTGCCGTTGTTATAAGGAGCGGGCTGCATCGGTATCACTGACACATGGAAGCCACTCGCAATCAACGATGAGTGAAGACCATCCCAAGTAGTAGAGAATGACCCTCACCTTGGCTCTGTATGCACAACGCATAAGACAGATAGAAACCCGCTATTTATCGTACGGAATTCGTCACAGGCTGTTCTAGTTATCAGTCACTCACAACAACCAACGCAACTGTAATCAGTACGCAGAACAAACTGCTTACAATGCCATAAGATAATTGGCGGCTTAAGTTTGTTAAGCTCGTCGCTTGGTGAGGGGGCTACCCTGTCCTCTGCACGGCAGTAACGTGTAAGTCAGTGGACAGTGAGCGGCGCTATATCACATCTAGTAACTTATTCACGATGGTCGTTACCGTCCCCCGTAGCTCAGTGGTCTCAACCACTGATTGGCAACAGTCGGGTTGCGGTTTCGAGCCCTGCCATAGGTCCGATGGAATGCTCACTGCTGTTGATTCCCGAAAGAATGAAACGCGCGTACAGTGCTTTTCCGGGCTTGTGACGTCTGTCTGAGTGAGCCTAGATGTGACGAAGTTCTACCTAAATCATTGAGCAGTCTACAAAAAGTACCAATGCACTGCCAACTGTTGCACCATCTTAAGGTCAAATGTCGTTGCGGCCGGTCCACTAAACACCCTGCTGTGTGCGACACGAGAAGGACTTTCCATCGCTCCGCCTACAGTAGCTGCGTATACCACAGCTGTCTAGACTGAGCGGGGGCGTAGGCTAGCCATCAGCTGATTTTTACGCTAATGTTCTGGTTGTGCATAACTGCCCTTCCGAGTGCGCCTAAGCGCCCTTCTTAGGCGTTCTGGTCTTTGTGTCTACTGGAAGCAGACCAAGTGCCAACCGCAAACCCGAGATGTAAACATATCTGAGGTTCACACAAGTTGCAATCAAAAGATTGTACAGTCAAACTTGTCTAAGGCGACCACGCAAGGGACTGACAAAAAGTGGTGGCCTTGGACAGATGATCGCCATGCATAGGGAGATTACTCATAGGAGAAAACGTTGGGGATGCATTTGGCCGGTCACCATGGATTGGTGGTCGCCATAGACAGGCGGTCGCCAGGGCAGATGGGACTGTAGTAGCGAGAAAATTCAAAAACCGCTAACTAACAAATTGCAACCGACCCATATGATGACGTCGCCACCCAAAATATTCCCTTGTCTGCCGTGTCAGCGCTTCAACTGAAATTGTTATGGGCCTTGTTGTTAACAGAGCCTTCGGTAAATACAACTTCCAAACTTTAGCTGTTTTAAGTTAGACACAATGTGAGATAATCATCAAGATCAATAGTCATCCAGTAAGGAAACATGAAAAGGAAGGGCGGAACAGAAAAAGTGTTCCAAATCCCCTGCATATTTAAATGTCAGGAATTGTGATAAATCCGCTGTCATTCCGGTTCCGTTGCCCGCTTCGAAGCCCACCGGCTGTGTGCTCAAATGCATACGACCGGTTCTGAATGGTATATGTGAAAATCCATCACATCTAATTTGAGTCAGACAGCCATCACACGCCCGGAATGGCCTTGTACGTCTGTTTCACCATTTCGAGAATCGTCAGCGGTTCACATTCACATCTAGTAACTTAGTCAACATGTTCGCTGCCGCCCCCTTAGCTCAGCTATTTCAATCACATACTGACAACAGTCGAGCCCCACAAGGGCCAAGTCGAATGCGCAGTGATGATGAGTTCTGAGAGGATTAAACGACCGTACATTGCATCTTCGGGCTGAATTAAGAAGTGATGAATTGCTACCTATACTGTAATTGCTACCGATGCTGCCGACTGACAAGCCTAATCCCCAAGCGTACGCACGGTCTGGGCGGTAACATACGAGGGCAGTTGGCGGAACAAGTTGTGTTGAATAAAGCTGTGGTTCTACAAGCATTTATAATAAAAGATATAGAGTTGACTTAAGGATAGGTGAATAGACTCCCAAGCGGGTGTAAAATAAATCTAGTTAAATTCGAAGTGCGGCCGTAATGGAGGCCCAGTAAACATGGCGCAGTAAAACAAAGGACTGTAAATACGGGCTCAAGTCTTG